GTGAAGAGGAGGCGGCGGCTCGTTCGAAGAAGAAAAAAAAAAGGCAAAAAAGAAAACAATAAAACAAAGAGGCAGAAGGGGAGCGGAATTTTTACCTTTTGCTTAATGAAAAAGTGATTTGGTAGAAAATAATTCGAGGAAAGCATGGTTATTTATACCTAGAGGATTTCCTAAAATCACTTTGTCTCTGAAAAAATTCTAGAAATTTTCCAGCAGGCCTCAAGGCCCATTAACACAAAAGACCGTGAACCTCCTCAGTCTTCTAAGCAAAAGAAAAAGAAAACAAGTCCAGGAAAACACGCTGACATCGGCTCAACGCGGAATAACAGAAACTTCCGGAGTTCGATGACAAAACGTCCACGCCTGGCAACTTCACCGTCCATCATATCGATCTCAGACTTCCGCAACTTTTACCTTGGCATCATCGAAACTCGATACAGCCAAGCTGGGGGGCTAACTCAAGGCCCACTAGCGAAACAAGACTATCAACTTTGTTAGGCTTCTAAGTAAAAGAATGGGCAAAACGAGAAGTCCAGGAAAACACGGTGACATCAACTCAATACGGAATAGCGGAAACTTCCCGAGTTTGATGATAAGACGTTCANGCCTGCGACTTCGCAGTCCAACATATCGATCTNAGATTTCAANAACNTTTACCTCGGCATCATCTTAACTCGATACTGCCAAGCTGGGAGGCTAACCGTAGGGGCGGATTTCACCTCTATGAGATCGATATAACGACAAGATCAACTGGACAACATCCTAACGAAATCGGAGCAAGTCTACAAAGGCCTAGTCTGAATCTAGGCCCAAAATGACATTAAACCCATTAACAAAAATGGGCTTAATGGAGTAATGAGCCTAATTTTAATATATTGCTTAATGGGCCAAACCCATTTATTAGCTGGCCCATTTTACTTAGAAGTACTATATATAGTTCATTATCATCTCCCAAAAAGGGGATCGATTCATTTGTAACCAGAGCTTAAAAGAAACAGCAATAAAACATATCTTCAACTTTTGCTTTGTGATTCATACTCAGAAGATTCAGCTCTCTTTTCAACCCTTGACAAATTCAACTGTGTAGAATCCGCCGTCCACAATGACGAGCTTATTTTTCATATCAAGTCCTTTCTTACCACAAAGGAAGCTGCTTTGACATCAGTCCTCTCAAAGAGGTGGCTCATTTTGTGGACACTTATCCTTCACATTGATGACTATGTCTTTCTTCATCTACTACGAGCTGCCTCAAGAGATGTTTGTCAGTAGGACACTAGTCAAGATGAAATTAAGAAGTAAATATGGTGTTTTGAAGTGGCGTCGAGGAGGTGAAGGCACTTTCTTACCGATGCTTAAATCTCTCGCTATTTACTCGGAGTTTCTTTGTTGTGAGAATTCTTCCTTCTTTACGTGTGCTTGAGGAATAATTCATTGCTATTGATGAGTGGCTAGAGCCTGATGAAACCGTGTCAAGTGCAAGCCTCAAGAAGCTAACTATCTATATAGCACATGTTGTTTAGGCTTTGTAAATCAAAAGAGCTTTTCTTTTGATACTCCAAATCTGCTTTACCTCGAGTATTCTGATTTTGTTGCGGAGGACTATCCAAAAGTTAACTTGACAACTATAGTTGAGGCTCAACTCAACCTTTTGGTGGCAAGTGAAGATGAGATGAAGTGAATAAGAGCGCCACATAATGAAGATGATGAGAATGATGTTTTTATCGTTCTTGGAAATGTGTGGAAGCTCTTTAATGGCATAAGAAATGTTCAAAAACTTTACTTAACTGCAGAAACTCTCAAGGTCAGTTGCTAATGCAAATATTTTATGCTCAGTCACTGGATAGATTTTAACGCAAGCTTCAATACTCTGGAACAAATGTTGCATCAGAGTAGTGGCACTACTGTAGTACTGAGTTGGGCTTTGTCTTATTTCAGGTGCTTTCTATATGCTGTGAATCGATGCCGGTGTTCAATGACCTTAAGTTTTTATGTATTACCAGCGCCAAGGATTGAGGATGGCAAGCAATGCCGGTTCTCTTGAGGAACTGTCCACATTTAGAAACTCTTGTCCTTGAGGTATGAACACAACTCATTTCCCCAAACATTAACAATGACCGAGATTATCCTTTGAAATACCCTATAGTCTCCTTTCTGGTTTCAGGGTCTCTTACACTTTGAGACAGATAAATGCGGGGATGCATGTGAGTGCGTTTCTCGGGAAGACAAAGGCTGTTCGCTCTCATCAAGCCCGGTGAAAAAGTTGCAGACTAGAGGGATTAAAGGAACCATGAAAGAGCCGGGGATGATCAAGCATTTCATGGAGTCTTTCCTGTGTTTGAAAGAGATGGATGTATATGCCGAAGAGAATGATCCTACAATCTTCAAGATCCCTGGAATGATGAAAGTTGTCGCGCATATGCTCTACAAAGAGTTCCTTAGTTATGATGTGTGTACACTCCTTTGTGTAAGAATTGGATTGAACAGTGAGGGAGGAAAGAATCACCGGGCATGCCAATGTTAGTAATCAGTTTTACCACAAATTGAAAATCATACATGTGGAAATAAAGTGAAAGATGGTATGCAGGCTAAGACAATGGAAAGCTTGATCATACTATGTGAGTAGTATCTATGGATTTTTGTAATCCCTTTATCTGTTTAAAGGAAGAAAATATTGTGATCTGCCTCGAGAACGGAATAGGAGAAGAAATTATTTATCTGCTTTGAGAACGGAATTGGAGAAGAAGGCATTTTTTAGATTCGCCACAATTTCACATAGAGTAGCATGACTGTGTGTTTGTTTATGTAGAAGTTACTGATGGTATGAAGAACCATATGATTTATCTTCAATTTTTTAGTTGTTTTACTCTTTCATGCTACTTATAAGATTAACCACCTTCTCCTTATATCACGATTCCTATTCATTGTTTTTTGTTTGCATCACCGTTGATTGTGGAGGATTGGTTTAGTGGCTATGTATCACATCTTATGATTACGTCTTTTTTCTTACGAAATATTTGGAAAAGATGATCTTTTGCATGAGAAGAAACAGAAACACACTTCTAACAAGTTGTTAGGGAGATTCGAAAGGAGAAAGACCAGAAGAGGAGGAACAGACTCTCTGTGGAAACTTGTAAATTGGTTCATCCTGTTTTCTAATCTCTTCTGCAGCTTTTTATACATATCCGATTGCTTTATCAACAATGTTTTATACATAATGTTTTAAATGTTGGCATAATGTATCAGAAGCGTCGTCGAGTTGGGTCTTGAACCAGAGAAGGTAGAATGTGTTATGTGAGAAAACCATTTGTTTGCAATTACTATAGGAATCCATCAATAGGAGTTAGAATGTGTTGGATTATAATGTCAAAATATAACATCCTCATCCAAATAGCTAATAAACTTTGATTTGTCGGTATTGGTTCTTAAATTCCGTTTTCAGGTCAGCAAATGGTGCAAGAATGACACTCAAAAGTAGAAAGGTGCATTGCCTCGAAAAATCCTCGATGATAATACCACATATTGTCGAGGAGGATCCTCAAAGTGAAATAGATAGTAAGGTAGTATAATGTTTTAAGATTTGGAGATATGTTGAAAGCAGTACAACTGTGCTGTAAATTCTGATTGTCTTGAGGATGATTCTCGTTTTCCAGGTACTACGATGACTTGCTAATTTGCTGATTTGGTCTCCTCCAAGTGCTTGTTCACCCACTGCACCATGATTGCTAATCGTGGTTCCACGGTGCAGTGCGTGGCCAACCAATTGGTCGAGACCAAAATAGGCCTCAACATTATTTAATTTCTCTTGCCCCCCGAAGAGCCTCTCACCGGAACCACACAACAGGTTGGCTTCCTTTTTGTTTCTCCTCCAACTTTGTGTCTGATATTATAGTGACATCGAAGAGATTAACTTATGTGTGAATCAATAGTGTTATTGTGGTTGAAATTCGAGTGAGAAAAATGTACTGCCTCGACGATGTTACCACTTAATGTCATGGATGCTCCCCAAAGTGAAGTTATTAAGGTAGTATAATGTTTAAAGATTATGAAATTAGTTGAGATTGTGTTCTTCTGATGCTTCTATGGTAATGATTTGTGGTTTATCTGTTATGATGGAACGATGGAATACCCGTTTGAATAATATGGTGCTCGACTCCAGAACACTGGCTAATCAAGCCATCTTCAGCATTCAGGATAAAGTTAGAACATAACAAAACTACTGATACTTTGTATTTGATACCTGACAGAGAGTGAAACAACATAATGGTTCTAAGGCGCTCTCTGGAATTTCCAGGCCTGTTAGCAGTCAACGAGAGCAATGGTTAGACTTATCAACTTCAAGATTACGCGAATGGAGACTGCTTCACTCAGCAGGCAAGTCTACTTAAAAAACATGAGTTAGTACTGCTCTGATCATTTCTGCGATGCCTGACCATTGCCATTAGTAGGCACATTCTTTTTGCAACTTCTAAATTGTCACATCTTTGTCATTTTAGGCCCTTGACGAGCTTAAGCAACGATATATGAGCTTAAAGCCAGTTTCTAGAAGACAAAGAGACAAGCGAAGGACAATATTAACCAAAGCTGAAATGCGAAGACAAGTAGTAACAGAGAAGCTTCGTTTGGACCTGAAGCACTCATGCTACTGAGTATTATAGAACGAAGAAAATCCATGAAAAACTTAGGCAAGTCATCTTGTTTTACCCCAAGAGGGCTCACTAGTTGTTCCCATATAGCAGAGAATTATGAGCTTCTTGGAGAATATGTAAAACATTGTTATGTTGCAGAATCAAATGTAGTTTTTGTATTGTTTCATTCTCTTGGAAAATAGCAAGTCCAAGGACACTTGTAGCCTTTGTACTTACTCAAACTGTTTTAACACTCTATAAAAATGCCTGAGAAACATGTATAACATAAATTTTCTGCATCTCCATATAATCTGTGAATTTTTCTTACTAATTATAGTTCAGATTCAGGGATTAGAATGCAAGAAATTAAAAAGTGAGACCCTTTATACACAAAGAAAAAAACCATGGGCGGTTAAATTATAAATCAGATTCTGAAGTTTCGTTAGAATTCAAATTAATAGCATCAAACACCTGAAATATAGTTCTCTAGCAAACCTGGATGCAAATTGTTGATAATGTGATACAAATAATCAGAGACTAGGAGGAGGGGGCATGAGAATGGTGGTTCCTGCCTCAATCTGACCACAACCGATCAAACGCCAATGCCTTTCGACACGGCGGCTTAGAGCCACCTTTTCTCCTATGGTGGTGCAAACAGGAACCGTCAATTGCACTTTAATCATATCTTTATTCAATCCAATAACCTTGGCTCCTGTCGACGTCGAACCAATGTTCAACATCAGTATCTCTCCTTTGCTTAGCTTTGACACTTTCATTTGCCTCTCTGTTTCCTTTGTCTTAACTCCAATGAGACGCGTCAGAAGCTGGAAACTCACTTCAAGCTCAGCATACACCTCAGGGAGAGAACCCATTTCACCAAGGACTTGACCGACCAACCTGTCAGCACGCGTTAGCGTAGGATCCATCGTTGTCCCGACCCCGATCAGACCTCCCGGGACAGCAAACTGAAGCTCGTTCTGTTCCGCAAACAACGAAGTGATTCGCGAGTAAATGGGAGTACATTTATGGTTTCCATCCTCATCTTTGCCAACGATACCAGGTCGAATCTCGATAAATTGGTTTACTTTCAAAACACCCTGCAAATAAAACCAAAGATCAAATTGGACCATATACCATACAAAACAAAGTTATGACAAATATACCAAATTTTGTTTCAACCCAAGCTACTCAAGTATAGGGACTAATGTATGTAACTTCAAGCAAGTCCAATGTAAAGAGATCGAGAATCGATACCCGGAGGATACTACCACCAGCCACTCCACCTTTAACATCATCAACCGCGGAGCCAGGTTTATTGACATCAAATGAACGCACGATTATCATCTTTGGCGGTGACACAAAATCCCTCTTAGGAATTGGAATCTTCTTGACAATATACTCGCACAAAGCATCGATGTTGTATTTCAGTTGCGCAGAGATAGGAACTATAGGAGCACCCTCTGCATTTGTGCTCTGCAAGAAGGTTTATATAGCTTCATTAACCAACTGATG